GAAACGTTTGCTCTGCATGCCTCAGTTTCTTCATCAGTGAAGTGTGGAGTACGGGGTGCGTTCAGCCCAGCTAAGATGATCCTTTGTCTAGGATTCCTTCTGTGGAGGCTGCTTTTGGGTGTTTGTAACTGGAATTCCCATCCCTTCTTTTCCTTGGAAATCTCTTACTCCATGGGCTTAATGTTGTTCCTGTCATAAAAGCTGGCACACGAATTCTCTACAATGTGGTCCCCTAAATAAGACCAGCATAACCAGTATGTCAGTGTGGATGGGGGAAACCCCACAAGGCCCACCCCTAGGTGAAGAGCTATAGGCAATCAATGGCTGACGAGAGAAGGAGAGTTAGTCTTCTCCAGGGATGACAAACCCCCTATCTATCTATCTTTAGAATGTAATGATTTGAGAGGGAGTAGACACCATAGAAGGTATTGAAGGGGGCAGAAGGATGGGTGGAAGTAATGTAAATCCAGTACACATGTGTGGAATTCTCATTTTCTTTTCTTAAGTTGCAGAGGCCAGATACGTGCCTTTCTTGTCCCTGGGTTGGGGTCATGTGACTTGGCCTTTACAATCAATGTCTTTATGTTCTGAGGTAGTGATGGTCAGACTCAGGATTCAGTTAGCCAGAACCAGACACTAACGCATGCATTTGAGGACAGTGACTGGTGAACTGTCCTTGACATGCAAGACTGGGCATGTGCGACTGTGTGCTCCACCCACACCCCATTCCCTGTCCCCACTGCCGCTGCTGCCATCTCTAATGTGCACCGAGTTCTTACTGTGAGCTGGACGCTGCACACGGGGATCCTCACAGGCTCTTTAGTGACAGATGTGATGCCCTTCAAGGCCGTGCAGGGAGTGGAAGTGCAGCTGAGATCTGGACTTGATCACACAGCGGCACCACTGTTTAGTTCTTTTTGATTCCTGGGAGAGAGGTACTGTCTTTATGTCTCTGCATCTCTCACATAGCATGGAGTGTGCTAGCTACATCTCCCCAGGTTTGAACACTGTATGAGTGTTCAGGACTTGCCTGCCTCCCACAAACCTCATTTCAGCCCCCTGTCCCATAGCTCCCTTTTCCTACCTCCAGAATTTTTTGTCTGTTTGTTATGAACCATTTTCACTTCCTTTCCACACATACCTGCTTTATTACATTTTATTTAATGTGTGCATATGTATGTATGTGCATGCATATATCTGCAGAGGTCAGAGGTCAACTTTTGAGAGTCAGTTCTCCTCTTTCCGCTATGTATAGAATCTGGGAATTGAACTTGGGTTGTCAGGCTTGGCAGCAAGCACCTTTATCCATCTTGCTGGCCCCCGACACCTTAAAACCAGTGCTGTGAATCTCTGACTGCCAGTTTCCCCTTGTTACATCTATGTCTAGATTCTTGGGACTTTGGGGCTGAAGATGTTTCTGTCTCATGAAGGACCTTGTACTGAGTATGCCCTTTACCCTGCTTCTAACCAGTGGTTTTCAACCCCTCTGAGGGGTGGAAGGGCCACTTTTCAGGGGTCTCATATCAGATATTTACATTACAAATTATAACAGTAGCAAGATTACAGTTTTGAAGTAGCAATGAAAACAATTTTATGGTCTGGGGTTGCCGCAACATGAGGAACTGTATTAAAGGGTCACGGCATTAGGGAGGTTGAGGACCACTGGTTTAGAGCAATGCCTGGCATGCGGCACACACGGGCACCCTGCTGACTCCTTTGTTCATCACCATATCTTGCTGGTGCTCAGACAGAATGTCTCTGGGAGGACCCCAGGCTGCTGGGTACAGTGTGGCTGGTGCTGGCAATGAGCATGGGTCCAATACTACCCAGTTCACACTGTGAAGTTTTACCCTGTGCATGTGTTCTCTTCCCACGAAAAGGTGGTCAATGTCGTCTAAATGTCTAAGCAGATACTAAAATCATTACATTTTGTCAGTCCTCCTATGTGTTCTTTTGGAAAGAATGGCCTGTGGTTTGCTTTACATGATTTTATTTTAATGTTTAAAAGGGCTATGAAACTGGGCATAATGTCACACTTGTGCCCCCCCCCACCTCCCGTGCTTGGGAAGCAGAGGCAGGAGGGTCAGGAGTTCAAAGTCAGCCTCAGATACATAAGAAAACTCAAGATTCCCCTGGGCTTCATGAGACCCTATCTCAAAGCCAAATAAACAATAGAAGAACTATATGTATAAACAGAAAATCCAACCGGAGGGTGCAGCTTTAGAAGCTAAGGTAGCAGATACTCAGATGATCTAGGGGGATGGTGACTTTGGGGACCAGATGTGGTCACTGCCGTCTTGGATTCTGATGAAGCTGTTCACTCCAAGAAATACTTCTCCTGGGAGCTCTGTGGGCCCAGGAGCTGGGAATATGATGCATCGGTTGTTGTCCCTTGTTCCGGGTTGTGTTTTAGTAAGAACCCCCTTCCTCTGTGTGAGCATCATGTTACTCCTAGTCTGAGTTACTCCTAGTCTTGTTACTGTTGTCAACTCGCTGCCTCGATGCTAACAGCCGAACAGTTGCCACTAGATGGCGCTGTAGTTCCGAGAAATAAGCTGAGAAGGTGCCTGGTGTGGAGGAGGCAGGAAGTCTTATGAGTTTTCATCTTATTTCCTGTCTTAGACAGACCTCATTCTAGACTCGACTCTGGCTCAAATCTGCTATGTGTCTGTGTTCGTATGCTTAATTACAAAAATGGGCACTGTAGTAAAGCCCTCTTTCCCCGCTCCCCGAAGAGACGCTGTGAACTCGTGGGAGACCAGACTTTGAATACTGTGCGTCACAGTGCACATGTGTGCTCATTAAAGCCATTCCTTGGACACGCTTCTGTAGGACAGTGAGAACCTGGGACAGGGCTAGCAGCGGGGAAACACAGCTGGGCATGGGAGAAACAGTCATGGACAAGGTTGACCAAAGGGGTTCTGAGCCACAGCTAGATAGAGGCAAGAAGTTCTAGGGTGGCATGACACACTAAGGATAGCTGTAGCTACAAATGCTGCAGTTGAGAAAGACCACAGGGAAGGACTGGGGACATTTTTATTATAAATGATAATCATTTGAGGAGTGAGCTGTGCTTACTTGGATTGAACATGATACAATGTATACATGCCATAAAAAAAATCTCCTGGTATAATATGCATGACTTTAATATGTTATGGAATTATGTATCAGCTACAAATAAATTTAGGGACTTGGGAGATGGCTCAATCAGTAAAGTGCTTGCTGTTTGAGCATAAAGCCCCGTCTCCAGACGCTCAGTGCCTACATCAGAAAGCCAGGCAGTGAAGCTTGCTTAGATCCCCGGTGCTGGGAGGCAGATACAGGAGAATCTCAGAAGCTTGCTAGCCAGTCAGCTTACTGGAATCAGCAAACCCCAGGTTCAGTGAGAGACCCTGTCTCAAAAATATAAACCTGAGGAATGTCATAGTGTTTGTCAACTTGACATGCACCTGAGAGATGAGTTGAGGAATTGCCCTCACCACATTAACCTGTGGGCATGTCTGGGGGCGGGGGAGTTCTTGATTGCCAATTGATGTGGGAGGGCCCAATGCAGAGAGTGGTACCATTCCCAGGCTAGCTGACTAATTTATAAATAGCAAGCCAGTAAGCTGTGTTCTCCATGGCTTTTGCTTCAGTTCCTGCCTTGAGTTAACATCTTGGATTTTCATGATGGTGGACTGTTCCTTGGAAGCTGAATACATCCTTTCCTTTCCAGGTTGCTTCTGGTCAGTATTTTATTTATTGTTAGTTTATTGATTTATTTATTTTTCAGACAGGACCTGACTGTATAGCTCTAGCTTGCCTGTAACTAAAGGTGTGCACCACCATTCCTGGCCTGGCAGAGTGTTTTATCATAGCAACACAAAACAAATTAAGACAGAGATTGCTGGAAAAACACACTCAACATTGGCCTCTGGCCTATGTGTATGTATCACATGTATTAACGTATCCACACACATACACACAAACACTAATTTAATTTAAATAGAGTGCAAGAATTCTTTTGAGCCTCCGCCTCACCATCTGCAGAAGAGGAGGGGTGGAAGAGCCAGCCCACAGGGGCTGTGGAGACTGGAGCAGAGGATCTATGTCAGGTACTGGCACACTGCATAGAAGGAAGCAGCCCATGGGTAAATGGTGCATGGTGAGCAAGTGGCTCTGTGAGTTTGTGGTTCTGTCCTGAGGGCCACCCTCTCCTTTCCTCATCTTGTCTCTCCTCTGATGCCTTACTGATCTCTACCCATGGAATGGGATGATATTCTGACATCAAGCTCTGGCTTCTACATGTGTCCATGCACAACTATATACACACATGCATACCTACATGCCTCTTCTTTATGTACGTTGCAGTTATCCATCTGTCTGTCCATCCATCCGTCTGTCCGTCCATCTAGCCATCCATCCATCCATCTAGTCATTCATTCATTCATCCATTTGTCCATGCATTTATTCATCTCTTTACCTACCCATCTGCTCATCCTTTTTATTTGTTCATCCACCTGTGGATAAATAGGTCTACCTATTTATCCACCTCTCTTCCCATTCACTTATTCATCCATTTGTCCATCCATCCAAAACATTATATGCCATATTGAAAATAACACTCTGGCTCCAAGGGTACGGAATAGGTGCATCATATCTACCCAGCAAAGTTATATTATATGCTAATATAAGTAATTATACGATACAGGCAAAGCGCCCAGCATTGGGCTGTCGATACAAAAGCTCAGCAAGGGATAACTTGTTCTTCTGCCATCTGACTGCCACATCCAAATGCCATAGCTTGAAGTCTTCCTTGGGCTGATGTTAAATATCCAACTCAATTTTATCATGTAGGATTTTTAGGAAAGGAGTATGGTGAGGGAGTCAGGAAGAGTAGGTTGAGTCAGGGTTCAACAGTGAGCAAAGACAGGGAATCTGGTGGCAGAGGAGAGGGGAAGGCCACGCTGGACTCAGAAACACGGTGCTGGTTTGCCCTCTTCCCTTGGGACGGGCTCCTGCTATGTCAGGGGGGTCCGCTGCCGGATGGGCATGTTGACCCGGCTCTGTAGCCAGTCGATGTAATCTTCTTGCGGCATATGGATGATGTGTTCTCGCACAAACTGTGGGGTAAACACAGAGTTAATCTCGGGAGTCTGCACTAGACCGCCCCTCCGCCATCCTCTCTTCCACATTTCGGAAGACTTTGGATTGAAATCCAGGATGCCTCCGATGATTTAGATATTCATATTTAGGTTGGTACAAAAGTAGTTGAGATTTTTGCATCTATCGTTTGACATTGGAATACTTTCTTAAATGCAGATATGTTATCTACCGTTTTTGATGCGTATTTCTTGATTTACATGCTTAATGGTGTATCAGATGGTGTTTCTTTTATACTACAGAAGTGATGTTAGTCACAAGACAAATTTGAGTTATTATCTTTTTGAAAAAAATTATTATTTCATTTTGTATGTATGAGTGTATGTGTGGTCCTGTGGAGACCAGAAGAGGGCATCAGATTCCCTAGAACTGGAGTGACAGGTGGACGTGGATGGCCACGGGGGGCATGGATAGCCACGTGGGGGCTGGGAACTGAATGGAAGCCTTTGGCAAGAGCAGCCAGTGATCTTAACCACTGATCCATCTCTCCATCCCTTTGACTGATGTTCTTATTTGAATTCCAGGGTCTTAAAGCAGCAGAGACAATGCATTTGGCCCAGAACCTTGTAATGAATGTCCAGTGCAGGCGTGGTTCAAGGGGACAAGACAATGGCTGGTTGAGGGCAATCATTGAAGTTGACCCTCTGCAAACAATCAAGGAAGTTCTTGTTTGAACTGTTGATTTCTCTCACTGTGCCCAGTAACAACATCCATATGTCAGCTGGATTTGACACCAGCCAAAAAAGGGATAGGATAGGACAACTGATGGTGACCATCTCAGTGGTTTGACTGAAAAGATAATCTAAAGGACTTCCCAACGCAAAACTTGTCATGGCCACTGTTTGCTGGGCTGCAGCTGGTCTGGCCCACAATGGACTTCTGAATCCATTACACTGGAGAACATTCCAGGGGATCTGTTGGCCTCTTCTGGCTCTGGCATGCATCAAGCATGCTTATGGTGCTCATACATACACATTGGCCAAACACACATACACATGAAATAAAAATAAATCTTGAAAGAAGAAAGCTACTCAAATTTTCTTGGTTGTCCACTTGACTACTACTGGAATTAACTAAAAGCCAAGTGGCTGGGTACACCTGTGAGGGATTTTTTTCTTAATTAAAGCATTTAAAGTGAGAAGACATACTTTTAACCTGATCTCAGGCAGCCTGTATAAAGGACATGGAGGAAGGAAGTTCTCTGCCCACTTGCTCTTGCTCTCACTGACAAGTCCATTCTTTCACTGGCATTAATTAGAGCCTCCTTCTTTGGAATTTGAGTGTATACTGAAAATCAGCTTAGCTGAGAAATCCAGTCTCATGGACTAGCAATGACTGGGTTCTTGTACCTTCCATTGGTAGATGGCCATTGTTGGATTAGCTGGACCACAGCATGTAAGTCATTCTAATCTCTCTCTCTCTCTCTCTCTCTCTCTCTCTCTCTCTCTCTCTCCTCTCTCTCTCTCTCTCTCACACACACACATATGTATATATATTCATTCTATAAGTTAGGTTGTTCTAGAGAAGGATTTGCCCCATCACCCTGGCGAATGCATTTGCTTTTTGCCATTAGACCAATACTTCAAAAGTTAAATGGATCAGATTATGGAATTATTTCGGCTATATGGTTTGGGACTATGGAGTTTGGGGCTGTAGAGTTTTGGGACTGTGGAGTTGGGGCTATGGAGTGTTGGGGCTATGGAGTTGGGACTATGGAGTTGGGGCTATGGAGTTGGGGCTATGGAGTTTGGGGCTATGGAGTTTGGGACTATGTAGTTTGGGGCTATGGTGATTTGAGCTATGGATTTTTGAGCTATAGAGTGTTGGGGTTATGGCACTGTGGGGCATGTTCACCCACCATATTCCCCTGAGCTCCTACCAACTGATGATTGCTTCTTTAGTTAACCTGAACAATTTTTTTTTCAAGGAGACACTTCTGTAACCAGCTACATCTAGATGACACTTTCCAAGGGTTTATTGAATCTGAAAGCATGGGTTTCTACACCATGGGAAAGGAAAAACAAACATGTCTCCTTGGCAAAAATGTGTTGATTGGAGCTCCTGTTCTGGCTCATAAGCATGTGACTGAGCCTTGTTAGAGGGATGCAAAACTCGCTGTCTAAAACCTCAGTTAGTCTGCCCTAATTTGTCCTATCAGACCAGACTGGTTGTTTCTGAGAAAGGGTCCCCTCTACGCCTCTCCAGTTGCTGGCTTCTTGCTGCCACTCCCCAAAGAAAGCTTGAAGAGAGGAAGAAAACCTAGTTGGATATATTTTTACCTTTGCTCTCTTTACTTGTTAATATCTTAACATTTTTATTAGGATATATTCATTATATTAAGTAATGAGTTCCTAACAGTTCAGGAAGATCAAGTTCATTGACAATATCCATTCCTAAGTACCCTCCCCGTCCACACTACCACTAGTCCTCTTAGGTTTTCATGGCGCACATGCACGCGTGCGTGCGTGCGTGCGTGCGTGCGTGTGTGTGTGTGTGTGTGTGTGTGTGTGTGTGTGTGTGTGTGTACATGCACATGTGCATGTAAAGAGAAAATCTGGTAGTCTGGCTTTTTAAGCTTAGCACAACAATGTTGTGTTCACTTCCCTGCAAATGCCATGAATAGCTTTTATAATGTCATTTGTCCTTTAAAATTTTGCTTTGGTTCAGTGCTTCTTTTGAGTATTGATGACATCTGATTTTGCGTTCCAGGAAAGGGTTTAAGACACACAGAGCCCAGTGTTTCCTGTGGGCTCTTGCTGTTAGGTGATCCGTGATGGTCTCCTCATCAGGAACATGCTAATGTCAGCCCCCACAAGCACCCAGTGAGGGCCACACTGCTGGCCTGGGAACTAACTAAAGTTTCAGTAGCATACTTTGAGATGAACATTTCAATGATTTACACATTTACATCTACTCCAAGCCTCCTAGTCTCCAGGGAGTACAGATTACATAGACTCCATTGACCCTTGGGGTGGAAGTTGAACCACCAAGTGCACATGACACTCTCTCTCCAATTAGAGCCAGAGTTTCCAGAGGGCAGGGTTTTTGTGTTTTGTGTTTTGTTAAGTGCAGTTGGTCTACTGTACTTAAGCAGTGCCTGAAATTTGAAAGATGACTGAATTAGGGCACCTGAGGGCACTGTCAGGGCACAGAGGTGGGGACGGTCATTACCTCAATGGCCACCGCAATGTCTGGGGAGCACAGCTCCCAGGTTCGAAACTCCTGGAGCACCTTCAGGAGGACATGTGGCCGGATCCTCAGGTCCAGGTTCTCTCCAAACTTCTGTAGTTTTGCCAGTATCTTTTTTGCAGGCCGGAAGCTCTTCAGATCCTCAGGGAGTTTGGACAACAGATCAAAGTACCTTCAAGTCCAAGAGGAGAGACCCAATGAGGGAGGTCCTAGAATGGGGATCTGGGCCCCATTTTCTTTCATACTCTTGGGATGTCTTGAGGGCACCATGAGGCTCTATGTGGGGGCCCTGTCCTCTACACCCAGTTTTTGTAGGGTCACCCATGAGGCAAATATTTATTTTTAAGGGTAGCCAGTTTCTGTTTCACTGGCAAACAAAGAAAGGGTATGCTTTAAGAAGCTGCATTCATAAAACAGCTTTCTATAAAGCAGATAGTATGGAAATCCAGAAAACAAAATGGGGGGGCATTTGAGATTCTCTTCTGAGTGTTAATCATGCCAGGGTGGGTGTGGATACATATGTGTTGTTTGCTAGGTGATGGTGGGAATGCATTGTTGAGGGCGTGGAGACAGATGGGCTCTAACCCATCTCGGTCTGACCTAACCTACCTTAGGTCTAAGAGCATGCTTTAAATGTGGGCAGGGCTTGCTTAAGACAAACGATGGCATGTGTGTAGAAAGTGTTTTTGGGCAGAGTGTTTGCCAACACATGCCTGACAACCTGAGTTTGATCCGCAGAGCCCACAAAGAGGTGGAAGGAGAGAACAGATTTCACAAATTCGTTCTCTTAACTCTGCATGTGCCCCATCTTTCTTTCTCTTCCCCTCTCTCCCGTGCACCAATAATAATAAAATAAAAGGTCAATTATAGAATTATGACATTGATGATGATGATGAAAAGTGCTCTCACCCATCACTTATGTACCATTGTGAAAGATTTCGGAGAATAGCTTCACCCACCAAACATTCTTGGTTACTCATCTTTGTACATATGCTATGCATTCATGTGTTGGTTCATGTATCTTTGTATAGCATGCCTCCCCATGAAAACATGAACTTTGTCTGAGTTACTCAGCACATAGTGCTGAACTAACTGTGCCTAACAGATAGTAGGTGTTCAGTAGTTATTATTGGAAAGAGTGAATGAGTAACTGGATGAGTGAGGAGCACAGCTGAGCACCCTTGTTGGCAGACTGTGGTTCATTTGACTTGATTTTTAACAATTCTATGGAGGGAACTTGTTTCCCCACAAAGATAACAAACCCTCTATCATTAGAGATGCTGGCTGAGTCCACCGTGGGAGGCCCATTGCTGACTTCCCACTCTAATATTGCCGTGTGAGTTAGTCTATTCCCATCCGTTTTCTTCCCAAAGAGGGGGGCTTACAAACTACCTCTCCCTTCCCCCTTACATAGGGCATCTTTGGGAGCCTGAGTATCTTCATGGGCAGCAAAGACCTGGGGGTGTGAGGCATTGTGGATGGTTCCCACATCTCTCCTACAGCTCAGGGTTCCTCTGGCAAGTTCCTATTCCACATCAGTAATAATCTGTGAGGGAGTCTGGGTCCATCTCTCCATTTTTCTCATCTTTTTCTTAGGTCTTGTTTTTCTCATCCAGGCAGAATGGGGTTACAGCACACAATACTTCCGACTCCGATCCAGTATCACAAATGAATGTGCAGGTTGAGATCAGTCAGAAGCTCATGTCTTATGCTCAGCATTAACAAACAAGTTAATGACTTTCACAATGACCTGGGCAAGTGAACCCGCTGCTCAGACACTCAGTTTTCTTGTGAAATAGGGGTTTCATATGCATCCTCAAGGATTTGGAGGGTTAAATATGAAACATTAAATTTCCTTAGGGTAGCTCTGCCATCCGTCAGTCATTCGGTTCATAGTGACTTCTTACAGGTGGTCAGCATTTCCTTTTCAATTTTTAAAAATCTTATTTTAAAATTTAAAAACATGATCATCGAACTCATTTCTAGGGTACTTGTGTAACATGTCAGGACTTTTTAAATTTGCTCTTCTGTCTTTTTGAGACACCGTCTCACTATGTGGCCTTGGTTAGTCTGGAACTTATTGTGGAGACCAAGACTGGCCTTGAACCCATAGAGATCCACTTACCTCTGCCTTCTGAGTGTTGTAATTAAAGCAGCGTGGCACCATACCCAGCAATTTTTATAAATGTCAGAATTTTTATACAGTGTATGATGTCCCAACTGGATGCCTTTGTATACAATACATAATGTCCTAATCTAGATGTTTGGTACATCTACCAAGCATCCGTCACTTTTCCACAGGGAGAGATTCAGCACCCTCCCTTTCGGTTGTTTTGAAAAACTCAGTGCCATCACCTTGATGTGTAGCAGGCCCCAGCCCTCACCTCGTTGCTACCTATCCTCTTCCACATGCTGGGGCACGGTGTTCCCAGGGGTATGCTGGGATAACCTCAAAGAACTCAGACTCTGTAGACATTTGATTGACAGGTTTGGTATCACTCTTCAAGATTTGTGTGTGCACACGCATGTGCATGGGGGGGCAGTGGCAAGGGAGCACTCCTTATTTCTCAGTCTGGGCCAAAAACATGGTATCTATGAAGACCAGGATAGGTTTCATGATATGTGGTTCTGAAGCTTACAGGCTCTTCCCTGACTGTGTTTTGATCTGGGGGACCCACTAGTGACTGATGGTGGTTGGAAGGTGATGCCTCTAGGCTGCTGAAGAACCCTGGAATTGACCATGACATAACGCTAAGGGACTCTCTTGTCTGGTCCTCAGGATCTTACCAGTGATCTGCAATCTCTTCTGCGTCCCCCTTCAGCACTGAGATCGGGTGCCTCATCTTTGCCATATCCTTTTGGTAATTCGTGGCAAGGATAAAAGACTGGAACTTCAGGAGACCCCGTTCTTCTTGGCGCCTGGGAGGCGGTGTGAAGAAGTGAGAGAAGAATTAGAGACACAGATCCCTACCCCCTTAGCTACCGGCGAGCTCTTCCAGATGCCACCCACCACTTTGTCTTCTGTGGGACTCCTGTGAGGCTGTTAATTATGCTCAGCCTCTGAGGCCTTAGCTCTCTCCAAAATGCTGAAATGCCTTTGCCGACTCTCAGAGATGTCAATTAAATTTTCTGTGCAGAGCCCTGTTCTGCAGGGCACACAGTAGGTGCTTAACTCATGTTGGTTGTTCTCTTCCCCATTCTCATCATTTTGCACACCTGCCCTCTTTCCAAAGAGAATCTATGCTGTGGCTATGCCCGGGCCTAATGTTCTACACCTAGCACCCAATGCTTTGCATCTTGCTAAGAAAAAAGAACTTGTAGCAACTCATCCCCAAAGGTCCCGGATTATCCAGTTTCCACACTTTCCAACTGCGTCACCATGCTTAGAACTGGATGCCTCTTCTTCACAATCTTTGGGACAAAGTGTGATCTCCACACTAGCAGGTGGCAGACCAGTAAAGCCTTTGTGATCTGGACTCTGTCTGGCTCTCTGAAGCTTTGTCTCCTTGCAAGCATCACGAGAGCCAGCACAGCTGACACCTGGTAGTTCCCTTTCTACCCTCTGGGACTTTTGCTTTTTCTTGGAGTTCCTCCCCTTCTTAATTTCCTAGGCAGATTCTCTGGGTTTGGATTCCACTTTTCCTGTTTTGACATGTACAGAGATTTTGATATGAGGCTTCCCTGAGTGTGCTTGTGGCATCATTAGGGGGTCTAAATAAAGCCCCTCACCCGTGAGGTTGTTAGGAACCATAAATGGTGGATACCTGTAAAGCTCTTAGCTCTGTGGTGAAGTACACACTGCCTTAACACAGTACCCTGGGGATGGCACTGCCATTCACTAGCCGGAAATGTTGAGGTGGCTTTCCCGGGTCAGGAGGGACACCAGCTCTCTGTGTTCCCTTAGCCCTCTGCTCTTCCCCAACATTGCTGGCCCTCACCGCCCCGTGTGAACTCTGAGCAGGCGAGGGAGTGTAAGGGCTCATCTGGAAACCCTGATGGGATGGGTGAACTCCCTGGGACACACGGTCCTCTTAATTAGGGGATGGGGTGCAGCAGGGAGGAGGAGGTTCTGGTGGCCTCTTAATGTGGAACTCCACTGACAGCACTCTGTGTGGTGTGTGATGTTGGTGTCTCTGCCACTTCTTGCTCCTACTGGAGTTCCCAGGTACCTGCCCCCTGGAACACTCCTCTTCCTAGTTTCTTCTCTTCTGGATGTCTCTGCTTCCTTCATGGCCATCCTAAAACCACCTTCTTAGAGAGGACTTCCCTGATTACCCAACCTGAATCAGGATCCCTGGTTTCTGGCCTCCTCCGCCTTCACTTTTCCCTCCTCTTCATCTCCTGCTTCTTCCCTCCCCTTCCTCTTCCTGCTCCTCATCTTCCTCCTCATCCCTTCCTGACTCCCCCCTTCTTTCTCCTTTGCTGTTTCTCTCCCACTTCCTTCCATCCTCCTCTGATGTAACACCGGTTTTCTTCCCACATGGGACGATTCTCATTGTGTCTCTCTGTGGATGCAATGTTTCTGTTTCTCAAGAGGCGGAGTTAGGTCCCCAAGGGCAGTGAAGATGTCTGCCTTTGTCACTACTCCAGCCCCAGTACTGGACACGTGCTGAACAGATAGTACCAGGTACATGTCTTTGCAATTAGCCAGACATGTGTGTGCTCTTACTTCAAGAGGATCTCCATCTTGTCTTGTAGGCAGAAGCCAGCCTCCTGGGCTATGCTGTAAAACTTGGCCCGCAAAGTGCTACACACCCCACTCTTGCAATGGATGATGTTAGCCCGGCTGCTGACAAGAGAAACCATTGTGGGATGGGGTTCAATGGACACTCCTGGTAGCCCCATGAGTCCCGCTGGCCTCCCTGAGCCCAAGATACTCTGATGTGGGAACTTGTAGCATCTAGCTGGGCTCTATGTTTTCAAGTGGAGCCTCCCTCAGCATCCCCTTCGGAGGTTGGAAGAAATAGGTGGTGACTTAGGCCATACACATGAGCCGCAGTGAGGTAGCTTTCACTAGATCCCAGCAGGTGTCAAGGACAATGAGCCTCCAACCCCAGTGTCACCCCTTCTCAGCTGTGTGGCCTTGATTGGGACATTGCATGTGACCAACTCTCAGCCTGTTACTCTGTGAAGTGAGACAATCCTCCTGTGTGGCAGGGTTGGACTTGGGAAATAAACAAGGTCATGAATGTAGGATGCAGCCAGGGTGCTCAGTGCAACAGAGGGATTTCATGTCGTTTTCCACAGGGCTGCCCAATATCTGCTCTGTGAGACCCTTGTCCCCCTTTCCTGTTCATGGCTATGGGGAGTCTGCACCGAGCTTTTCCCATACCCCTGGGAGACAAAGGATGTGATTACCATGATAAGGTTGGCCTCTTGCCCACGATGTCCACTTCCCCACCTGGCTTACCCCTTTGACTTCTTCTGGGTCACCTGGATGTGGCTTTCTCCACTTGTTGTGCTGGATCTCTCGCTGAAACACCAAGGGGCAATTTATAGTTTTTTTCATGAGAGGTCCCTCTGAGGCTCTCCCGGCATGTGCGAGTCCCCCAGAATTCAGGTGCAGAGGAGACCTTACCTGGGCACCCAGACTTAACTGCACTTCATCTCCAACTTTGGACCTTGCCCCTGTCATGCTTTCTGCCTGAGTGTCCTCCTTGTCCCTCTCCCGCCATCTCTCCTGTTACTTTGTCTCATGGCCCGTAGCAAATCCTATATCCTCACACTCCTCAACTTTGACCTTTTGCCTCAGCATTGTGTCGGGATCACATGCTACCTTTAATAGGGACAGGTGCATGCTGGGAAAGGGGTGACTGAGTTTTCCTCCCCGTGTTCTTCACTCCAGACTGTACTTCATTCGAGGATGTGATGGCTAATCTTGGTTGTCAACTTGATGACACCTGTAATGAACTAAAACCCAAGTGGCTGGGCACACCTGTGAGGGATTCTTCTTGATTGTAAAGATGGGAAGACCCACACTAAATCTGGATCATTGGATTTGGAAAGACCTGCCTTAAATCTGGGCCACACCTTCCAGTGCCATCACACACAGAAGGAAATGGGAGGCAGAAGCTTGCTTTCCCTCACTCTGCTGTTGAGTTCTTTAGCCTGCTGCTGAGGCACTCCTTCACTGCTGTTAGGACCCACTTCTGGATCCCAACACAAACTGAAGGCCATCTGAGACATGCAGCCTCACAGGCTGATCAGGCACTGGAATTCTTGGCCTTTCCTTAGGGAGATGGCTGTTGTTGAACTAGCCAGGCCACAGCCTTACGCCATTCCAATAAACCTCCTTCTGTATATATAGATTCTTTCTATCAGTTTGGGTCCTAGAAACTCTGACCAGTATGCCTCCTGAGTGAAGACTCAGATACCTCAGTTTTGGAGGCAGATAAGAGATCCAGAGTCTAGATTTGGAGTCTAGCCTGGTTGTCAATCACCTTCTCTGGGATCACCCAACTTATCACATCCTTGGAGTCTTTCTAGGTATGGTCCAATTAGATCCCTTGCATGGCTGTTCCACCCCATGATTCCAGCTAGGCTAGCTTCCATAAGTAGACATCACTCCAGATCAGACCCACCACTCCATGCTGCCTTTCTGCCTTTCCCTCAGGACACTTGAATATCAGTGTGTGTGTGTGTGTGTGTGTGTGTGTGTGTGTGTGTGTGTGTGTCTGTGTCTGTGTCACAGATACATGCCATCACACACTGCTTTAAATGTGGGTCCTGGGGATTCAGACTCAGTTCTTCATGCTTGCATGACAAGCAATTTTTACCAACTGAGCCATGTCCCTATCCCCTAACCATGGGGTTAAAGCAGGAATGCTTACTTAATACATTATCAGTTCTCAAATACAGGAGAATCCAGGAGGCCCATGGAGGCAGACAGAGAAAAAATATACTTGTTTCTATTTTAACTAGTCTTTACTGAGATGGAAATGATGGGCATTTAGATATCACATGACAATTGTGGGAGAGAATCTCAAGAATCGTTTACACTCGACACTAATCCAAAGCCACGGTGTTTGTTAGCCCTACTGTACAGTCTTAACTCTGTAATGCATCATTAAGCTCCTAGAAGACTATGCTTCAAATTGGGAGGTAAGCTAGCAACGTATATCACCTTCAGAATCCTCATAATTTATTACGTGCATTTACAGAATCCTTCTGGAAGGTACCCCAGGCTCCCTTGGACTATATACAGGCCCAAAGCACAAGGATGTTCCAGTTGGGTGTAGGAGCCCACAATGCATTTGTTTCATTTGCTTATTGAAGCTTCCAGATCTGGCACAGCTTCTGGCCCACAGAGGGGACTTCGGGGGAATCAGGGGACCGACTCCATGTCATGTGACAGACTACTCAAAGGGAAGGAGTGAAGTTAATTTGGAATAAGGTCCTCCAGGCCCATGCTTATGTGCCCTGCACTATCATGTTACAGACCTCAAATAGGCAAACTGGGATTGTATTTTAAAATAGGAGGGAAGGGGTCCTATGCTGTGCTCTCCCAACAGTGTTTCTTCATGGTTGGAAGAGGTTAGTTAATAAGCATGGAATATAAATGCTGAGGAGAAGTGTCTGGGTACTCGTTGCCAGCCCAGCAGCAAAAGGAGCTAATTTTCAGTGAGGTCAAAAGAAGGGAGAGGTACCCCCTCCCATCCCTTAGTTCCCTCCCCCCATCTGTGTGGTGGCCCTGGATCAGGGCTGGCTTCCCTGAATCTACTTGTGGCAGGCTTCAGAATTCCCTACCTGGACTTGTGGGTGGTCTGCAAATCCTTCCAGCCAGAATCACTCTTGACTGGCTTGACTAGATTCAGGATGCTGCAAAGCAAGAGGAGTCAGATGCCAGGTGCCCCTGCAGCAGCAGGTGTTTATGCAGGACCTGTTGTCTCCCCCAGGGTGAGCGACAGAGCCACCTGGTAAGTCTGCTGCAAACACAGGTTCTGGGCCACATGTTCAGAGACTTGGCTGTGCTGGACGAAGCTGTGCTCAGAAACTGCAGGTGGAACCCCTCAGTTTCCCAGAATCACACACACAGACAAATGCCAGGGTGGACCACCTCCTCTGGGGGGATTGTAGAGCCCCAGATTCACACATCCATACTATAGAATTGCACCTAACTCAGAAACTCAGACAATTTATTACACACATGCATGCACATGCACGCATGCATGAACACACACACACACACACACACACACACACACACACACACACACACACACACACTCACACACACATATATACTGATGGGGAATTTGAAAAGCACACCCAGAATTCCACCCACACCTAGAATTTCACCCTCACCTAGAATCCCACCCTCACCTAGAATTCCAACCTCACCTAGAATTACATCCTTTTCTAGAGTTCCACCCTCACCAAGAATTCCATACTCACCTACAGTTCCACATTCATCAGATTCCACGAAGAAACACAGAACTATGTACTCCATGGAATTCTACACACAGTAGTGTTTCCCAGAACACAAGACCGTGCCCACTTGAAGTGCTTATTAGAAACCAGAGCTGCTCCAGAGGTTCTGCCTTGGTGGGTCCGTGATGAGCTCTAGGCACCACTTCATGAACATGCTGGTCTGGTCCCCAGCATTGCATAGGAAGCATTACTGCATTTTACAAAGAAGCCACCTTCCTGCAGCCTTGAGGCTGAGGGTTGGGTGGGGTTGGGTTTCAGAGGTCTCCATCAACCTCTCAGCCTGTCAGCTGACCTCAGTGTGAGTTATCGTGGTTTGTGTCCCTATTAGTCTCATGTAAGCTTCAGTATTTGATACTTTACTGAGTTGGGGGGGATTTCATTTTTCCTAGAAAGAATTAATGAGGAAGGAAGATTTCTATCATTTCTCTGTAACTATGGTTATTGTTGAGTTGAATGCAGAGTTCACATGTGACAGGGTTCTCCAGAGCCATGGGCTTTATAAACCAGATGGAAGTCATCGTGGATGTTCTCTATCTGTGAGGTAGGCTGTGTTGGGTAGTTTTTTCTTCTGTCAGCTTGACAGAGCTTAGAGCATTTGGGAAGAGTGAGTCTTAACTGAGAAAATACCTCCATAAGATTGGCTTGTAGGCACGTCAGAAGGGAATCTTATTGATTGCTGACTGATGTGGGAGAGTCAAGTCCGCTGTGGGTGGGGTCACCTCTAGGCCTAGATGGTCCTGGGTTCTATAAGAAAGCAAAGCAAGCAAGCCATGGGGAGCAAGCCAGTAAGCAGCATTCTTCCTTGGCCTCTGCTTCAGTTTCTGCCTCCATGTTCCTGCCCTGACGTCTCCTGGGGTTGTAAGCTGAAATAAACACCTTTCCTCTCCAAGCTGATTTTAGTGTCTCATCACAGCAATAGAAAGCCAGCGGGGCACGTGTGACAATACTGACAGCTGATGCAGCTGTCTCAGCAAGGCTCTGTAAAGGTTTGTAGCTCCTACATAAAGAGTAAAAGTCAGGACTGACCCGTTGCTACCACCGCATCTATTGGTTGCTAACTGTATGCCAGGAGGAAGCAGGCATATTAATAAACACATTGTATCCCTCAATGCTCTAAGGACTCATTGAGATAGACACAAATTCTAGGAAAAAATATTCCTAGGCCTTTACAAGGACAGTGTGACTTCATTCTCACTTCAACCATTTGGGGTAAGCTGCTAAGGCACTTTGTCTTCCGGTATATCAACAAGACTCAGGTGAAGCGATGCACCCAGTATCACACAGAAACTGAATGATGGGATGGAGATGTTCACTAGGTTCCAAAGCTGTGCCTTGGTGCTTCACAATCTCACTTCCACAGGAGACATCGTCCTCAGCATCAGGTTTTGCATCTCTACCAACTTGACTCAAGCCAGTGCTTGAGTTGTGGGCCTTTGTGTTTGTCATCATTGTGTGTCATGTAATGCTGACCAGGTGAGTGCCTCAGAATGCCTCCAAGTGCCCACCTTAGGGGGTGGGTTTGAGTTGAGGCTGCAGCGGACAGATTCATCATTAAACAGGCAGAGGTGGGGTGTGATGTATTCCAAAACATTGGGAGAAGGGTAATTACAGCACTAACAATAACCAATAAGTCATGCCTGGCTTCCCAGTAGGCTGAGGCTCATGATAAACCTCTTCTTGGGCTCCATTTATTTTCTGTAACTAATTTGCTTGCTCAGAGGGATTTACACTTGAGATGGGAACTCTGACTCCATCTTGCATTCTCTCTGGAGCATTCATAGAGGCTACAAGTCCACGGCAGGACTTTTCATCAGAAGACAAACACCTCAGGTTCAAGTTCAGCACTACCCTTTTATGACCCAGTCATTCTAGTTGCTTCTTGGATCATCCAAGGATGCCCAGGCTTTTAGGGTAAGACTCCAGATCCTCCAGGCGAGGACTTCCAAGACAAAGCCCCCAACCAATGTATGGTTTTCTCTGTCCCATTTTGGCTGCCCTGTTCCCGGATGGTGCTTTCTGACTGCATGTGGCTGACTGAATGTTCTCCTCCACCCCCTGTGTGTCCATCACCTTTGACAGGCAGGCTTTTCCCCTGGACCTTAGTCTGGGGAAAGAGAGGGGGGCCAGACATGGATGTAGGAAGGAGATGTGTTGAAGGGTTGTTGTAAGAATCCAGGGTAGTTAGACACATACAAAGTACATAGCCCAGTGTTTGGATCAATAGCTGGTGATTGCTATTGTGGCTGTCATGGCTATTTGACTGACATCCTTCAACTGCCCACAGAATTAAAGTAATGTACCTGGGAACTTTCGTCTGCATCTCAAGCAGCGTCATCGCTCTTCGGGCGTCTTCCCGGACCATCTCCAGGAGCTTCTGCAGGTCTAATGAGAACAGGAGACAGGATGGTGCATGGACCCCATGCCTGGCCTCTGGGAGGAGGGGGGATCAGACAGGGAGGGATCCCATTGTGCCCCAGAAGGGGCAGCTCATAGCATCTGGCAGGCTACACATCTGACCGTGTCAGTCCTTGACTTAAAATGATTCCATGATTCTTTTCTTGGCAGCAGAGCTCCATCTGCCTGGAGAGACCTTGAAGGGTCCTTTAAAATTAATTTATTTTCTGTGAGTGGTGTGTACCTGTTCTCCCCCCCCCTCTCTCCCTCTCCCCCTGGGGCCGTGGGTTGGGGTGTGGGTTGTTGTGGTGGCTC